ACAGGGCGATGCAGAAAAATCCAAACCTTAAAAATGTGTTTAGCATGTGCAAAAACTGCAAAAGCTATTTGTTTACCCTGAAACTATTACAACACACTTTGCATCTGCAGTGCATATTCTGTCATCCTGATTAGACTCACCCTTGAAGATATAAAACTCCCTTTTAGGCCCTTTTACCTCCAAACTATGTGTGTGTGCAGAACAAACAATTGTTTCGAGTTAAAATAAATGCCCCGTCATTGCTTTTATTGAATTAAAATTACGTCAATACGGATACTTCATGGCTGTTTAATTGTTGTTGTTTCAAATTGCCGTATATTAGATTTAGATGTTTAGTAAAGATGACCGAACTGCCAAGACTGCAGATGCATTATTGATATAAGCTCAAATAATAATAACCTGATTTACTTTCTTCATTCCATTCTTTGTTTAGCACTGCATTCTAATGCTTGACTGCTCAATGAAATGCATGGCTTCTTGGGTGTGTGTTTAAGTATGCACCCTTTATCAGGTTTCTGCGAGTAAACACTATCACCGTGGTTTTTTCAAAAGGTTTAGGGCGATTGTTTGGGATGGATCAATATCTGCTGGAGAAAATTGCGTTTCTCATTTCAGGTTACTTTATTACTGTGATTCCTTTTGAATGCTGAGGCACAGCGCCGGCTGAAGTCATACCTTTGCAGCCAGACGTTTGACAGCCTCCTCCCTGCGTCGCTGCATCTCGGGGGTTCCTGGGCAGCTGTTGGTCCTCAGTGTGTTGGTAGCACTGGATGGCGGAGTGGGCTGTGGGGGCTGGCTCAGAGGAAGTTCTGCGTTTGGTCCCGCAGCACCTGAAGGACAGAAAAATTAAATATAATCTAACGCGTTTTGACACGAGTATGTCATTTAATCAGTTAATAAGTACTTGATGCAATCGCAAAATTGATTGTATATCACCAAGGCAGATAGGGTCGTATTTTTTTAAATGAATTATACATTCAGTAAGAAAAATGGATTTTATATTTAATATATTCACAGCTCCTTTCCACACTCTTCAAGCCAATATTAAAATGAAAAAAACATTAACACCGACTACAAACTTGCAGCTAATGTAGCGCTCGCACCCAAATCAAACATAGAAATGAGTTACTTTTAGGGGAGGCACTGGGGCTGTTGGAGGCAATCTGGCGCATACGTCCTCCGTGGCAGCTCAGTGCTACAAGGCGGGAAATAATGGCCGTCTTTCCATAACCCACGCTGCCCACCACTACGGCGCCGTGGTTCTCGGCGGACTCGCTGGCCTTGAGGACGTCTTCCAGCTGCTGAAAGAGCCAATCTCGACCCACGAACACCGAGTCTGTGGTGATGCTGGGAACCTCAAACAACAAAGGCTTGAGCATGATGTCCACAGGTTTGTAGGGCGCAAAGCGTGCTGAGGGAAAAGGGAGAAAAGAATGTAAGATTTAAAATTGTGTTGGTATTTGTTTTACAAATAGAAACGAGAATAGAATAGAATAGAATAGAATAGAATAGAATAGAATAGAATAGAATAGAATGTCTTTACTGTCATTATACATTATTGTACAATGAGATTTAAAGAGCTGCTCCCGAGGTGCACCAGCAATTAAGAAGAATTAGCAATGCTACTTTTTTTTTTATCTTGCTAAACCCTGATGCTTTCTTTCCAAGTTCAATCTTAACTGATCCCATAATTTCATCTTTCATCTCTTACGGTCATACCTGCAACACTGTCATGCAACTGTACGTCAGCTTTAAGGGAATCGTTTTGTCCTTGTGCACCACATACACCAAACACCAGAACAGTGTAGCGGATAAATGGTAATTTAAGTGCAATCACAATGAATGCAAACTTGAAAGAGGACTCTCTATCTGGTCCTCTTCAGCTCTAATTAGATCTCGTAACACTTCTTCGCTTGGGAACTCTTAAAGCTTTGATCCCGCTAATACTAATATCACTACAAGCACTAACACTACTGCTGCTGATGCTACTTTTACAACTATTACCACTACTGTTCATGGTTTAACTTGTATTTGTTAATACTTAAAATAACACCTCTGCCGACAAGCGTCCTGAAAAAAACAACAGTTCTTTTGAGAAAATTCTTCCATGTACAAGCATTTTTCAGAATGTCTGTGATTTTTTTTTGCTTTTACAGATTTAACATCCACTTAAATCAAAACGCTGAGCCAACAGTTGGCTGCTGTAAACCTCATGATGTATTATTGGTGCATCAATCAGGTAAATATGGATGACAAATATGAAGAGAATTGTTTATAAAGCTTAAAACTGGTCCAAAATCTTTTGGCAATAAAACTTTTGCTGTTCACTTTCCTTTATTATGCAACTCTCAATTTCTGTAATCTCTATTTTTACTGCACTGAACTAAAATGAATTTACAATGTTGGTCCAGAACAAATACAAGTTAATAATTCTGTTGTGGATTTAGAGTTTGGAAGTCATTTCAAGTCATTTTCTACTATACACATTGGAAATACTGTCTGTTTCTGGGCACATCTTGCCTCCTCTTGTCTCTTTCCCTCTCCATGCCATTAACTCTGTGTCTTCTCCCTCCCACAGTTTGTGCTTTTCCCCTCTCTGTCCTTTGTATCTCTGTATCTCTCTGCAGGTATCTCTGGCTTATCTCCCTGCTCTGCTTTCACCCCAACTGATCAGGACGGCCCACCCTGCGTTTGGTTCTGTTGGAGGTTTCTTTCTTTCAAAAAGTGCTTTTTTTCCTCTCACCATTATCACAGAGTGCTTGCTCAAGGGGGGGACTGCTGAGTTTCTCTTGATAATACTGTAAGATCGTCACCTTTCAATTGAATTGAATTGTTGGTCTTTTGCTGGAAAACTACAGATAGCTTTGATCTGGCTTCCTGTTGATGCTATCGGGCCATCTCTTGTTCAAAAAAAAAAAAACCCAACTTTTTCTCATATGCCTTAATTCACTCTAGTCTAGAAAAAAATCAGTTTGTATAAGATTGCAACATTAAGTGTCTGAAACGGAGCAATAACTCTAAATACCGTCAGGCATTCAGATAAGAGCAAATAATTTGGTCTCAATAAACATTGACTTTTCCACAGTCGTGCCTTGTATATTAAAATGAAGTCACTGACATTAAGTTTCGATATCAACTTCATGTTTAAAGTGGTGTGAAAATAAAAGAGGACATTTTCAAAGAAGGCCTAAAATGGTCTGAATATCTAATGACTTGTTCAGTTATTCATGTTCTCATCAAATATTCACTCTGTGGGATTACTCTCAGTGACACTGAGGATTCCAAACACTTAACCAAGATAAAGTTAGTCGAACAAAGGAGATATTAAATGATTTTATATGTAAAGCTGGGACACAACCTAACAGATGCTTTTGCTAGAGTCGCATAATATCAATCAGTGCAGCGGTGTTTACACAAGACAGCGTGTCAGTATTTAAAGAACTTTGCTGTGGCACTGCACGCGGACGCTCCAGCTTTGTAATTAAACAATTACTGAGGAGTTAAAGCACTGACTTTGGCCTTTAATTTGAAAGTATTTACATCCACCTTGGACCCAGTCTGCATTCTAAACACACAAGTCTGCCACTGACCACATATCTACAGACAAGTCTTTTTATTGTCCTGTATTTTGTAATATTTTCACATGTTTAATAGTATTTACTTGTAACAAATTGGCTCTTACCATTTTATAATCTGCTAACAGCAACTGTGAATACATAAAAACCTGGCATGGCAACACTCAAATTGTAATTATTACAAAAGAAGTGAACTGCCTTATACATTTACTAGCTGATGTGTTTTTCCCACATAAGCTTGGTTACATCTACAGCAATAATCCACAGCTCAATCACCTTTGGAGTCCTGAGGTGGTCTTCCTCCTGTATTGTGCCACGGCAGGCGAATGGATGTCCGCAGGGGGGTGTTACGTTGTTCATCAAGAAAGCTGAGGTCTTCCAGCTTAGTGGAACTGGTCGCTGTAGACACACAAAAAGAAGAAAGTGAAGCCGACGCTCTGGTGCCTCTTGAGTGTATTTGTCACAACAAACGTAAAGAGCAGGACAGAAGCAAACACAAGAGTAAGATTTTGTGGCACATTTGCCATCTCTGGGAGAAGACGAGTGAAGAAGAAGAAGAAGCAGGCCCCTGTGCTGCTGTGACGTTTGTAGATTTCTTGAGGCAGTGTGCAAGTACAAGCATACTGTAGCAGAAACAGTAGCAGGAACCCAAAGCCGAGGCTGATATGCTCTGTTTTTCCTGTTATTTGAGCTGACAGCTACATACAATAAAACAGTACGAGGTCTGTCCCCACAAACACCCCCGCTGGGCTCTTCAGAGATGGCAGATTACCTTTACCTTTCGTAAAAAAATTCAGAGCCAGTTGTGACAGGCTAAAAAAGTGTTTCACTGCCAGTTCAACACTATATTGTTTAGAAGCTGCTCATCAATCTGAAGGACATAAAACTGTCATCTCAGCACTGTAATGTGGAACACAGATTATCATTTCCTTACGTTTGTGAGCATTTTGACTCAAGTTTATCTTTCACCATCTTCAAAAAATTCATCCAGTTCACAACTTAGATGTTCGACATTAAATTCTTTTCCAACTTTAGCGACTTTGGCTTCATTTTGCAGAAGCAGTGGAAGTCACAAAGCAATTGATGTGTTCAATCCCCAAACAGAGAACATTTCATTCCGAAACGCAACTCTGCAGATGAACTACTTGACGAGCCAGTGATTACAAAGCAATTCAAGTTGTGATTTGAAGTAGTGCAACCAAGGTCTCTCCTCCATTTGCGGTTCATTTTTCAACAATGCTATCCCCATTGTGATCTATGCTCTCTTGGCCCTGCTGAAGAGCAGAATCAAAGCCTCTGTTTTCTCCTTTATCAGCCTCAGCTGGGAGAGACTGTCACAAACACTCAACTGCTCCCTTCTTTCTCTCTCCCTCACTCGGTCTTTAACTTTCTCTCTGGAATGCCCCACTAATTAAAACCCGTCTGTTGGCAACAGTAACTGAGGAGGCTGCCGTCAATACAACTTCAACTGAAACAGAAGGATTAAATTTAAGTCAATTGTATTTATACATATAGCGCCAAAAGTAAGGAGTGTGAGTCATCTCAGGACACTTTACATAGTACAGTAAAGACATAACAACACATGTGGGCCCTGATGTCACTATTATTACAGTGGACTGTGATTTCATGAATGACTCTGTTGGACAAAATTGACCTTTAACAAACAAAATTAAAGAAATAAATGATTTTTTTCTTCTTCTAAATATACACAAAAAGCTGCAAATCAAACAGACACCATCTGAAGCCAATCTGTGCTAAGTAATGCAGCACTAACACTTTGGTCACATTTATTCTAAAGCTACATGTACTTACATCCAACAGCAAAGCCGGGAAGGACAGTGGGAATTCTCAAAGCCCTCCCCTTATCCCCAGCATGGAAATACTTGGGCAGCCATACAGGCAAGAAGGCAGGGTGCAGACCCTCAGCTAAATCTCTGGAGAGTGCTCCCAGAGGATGAGCTCACCGTGGGCACAAAAGCGATTCCTCTACCCCAGTGCTCCCATGCAGGCACACTGGCAGCTGAGCAGAGGGCTTGGCTGCCCCCTCTCTAATGCTCAGCCAGCCACAGCACCCACAGCATTAGGCACTTGCTAAATGAATGCAATGCTTTCCAAAAGAGCATCACCCTCCCTACACTTGCAACAAACATGCGTACATCATCTCTGTCCACGTGCTGCATGCACACACACACACACAGTTTGGTGAGCAAGCAGCAGAGAGTGCAAATTGAGAGAATTAGAGGAAATAAAAACGGCAAACCAAGAGATTCAGTCTCTAGTGGCTGATTACAGTTTTTCCAATCGGTAACTACTGCGGTATTAATCAACGATCCTGGCTGGAGAGGGGTGCAGCAGGGATAAGAGAGAAGAACGTGGAGAAAAGAGGTGGAATTATATATGAGTACAAGAAAGAAGATGGTATAGATACTGTGGGAGGTGGGGGCAAGGGAGATGTACGCACAGACAAGGAGAAAAGAAGGTAGACAGAAAATCAATTCTATGCAGCAAATCGCCACTAAAGCCCAGCACTGACATCAGCGGGGCCACAAGAAGCAGTCTGTCTCCTGTATCTATTTTGACATCTTGAACATTTTTTTTTATGCATACAACAAAACAACCAAAAGCAATACTCCATTTGACTTGCTTAAGTAGTTCTAATGCACACGCTCTGTCATTCCCTTCTGTGATAATGCATCATGCACTGTAACTATTTTTCCCTTTTTGTTAAGTCATATTGCTTCCTACAGACAATTCTTTCAAGGCCAAGAATACCCACAGGATTTCTTCATATCCTTCAAATCCTCCTCTTCAGTTCTTTTCCTCCCCTCACTCTCTGAATTCCTTCCTTTTCTTGCACATCTCCACTCATTGATAAAACGTACATATGATACCTTGAAGTCTGTGCTCGCAGTGACTTTGAAGCTGTACAAATGTGTCAGACTTGTATTCTGATGAAAATGGGATTCTTTTTTTTCCTCAGGCAGGTCTGCCCTTTGAAACCTTCTGTTCTGTGTTTCCCATGACAGAACAGAGAAGAGGACTGAGCTCCTTTGCTCTAACCACTGCCCCCCCTCAACTCTCTGACTCGACTCCCTTATCTTCTTTACCACTGTATCCACTAAAAAGGAGATGGGAGTCAAACACTCCCGTCCCTTACCTTCTTGCCTTTTTGAACTACTAAGTTATATTGTAAACCATTGTGTCATTTGTATGAGCACAGTGAGAGGAACAGACAGTTTCAAGTCCAGGCTTTTAAAGTTACGGTGCACAATGCTGAAATCAATGTTACACTTTTAATTCATGGTTTAAAAATCACACATTAAATATGTTAGTTCATTCGGCTGTTTGAAAGAAATATGGGGTGCTGAGGTTTTCCAGTATGGAGGAATTCCTCATACAAGGACTGCTTCAGCTGGTACCAAAAGAAACCAACCAGGTCAAAATGATAAGAATTAAGAATCATTTTTGATAATTGGGGTTTGTTTGCTCAAGCATATTAGATAGATAGAAAAAAAAATATTATGCTTGGATTTCTGGGTAACACAGATTTATTGCCTTTACTGTACGTGGACCATCATGTGTACTGCTCGACCCCCAAAGGTTCATTCTAAGCTGGGAAAAACCCTGGATGGGAACTATGAATTTAACTTATAACCCATCCATTTCTTTCTGTGGTGATGATGCATTTCTGAAGATCAAACAAGTTGTCTGCATTCTGTTCATACATAGGCTGTCTATAAAAGTTGGATTTAACCCCCATTATGTCACTCACTGGTTTGTGGACTAACGTGTTGAAGTCTTGAGTCTGGTATTTGGTCGTTGCTATCTTGGTCTTTTGATGCATGAGGTGACAAACGAAGGGTGGATCTGACAGAGAACTTCAGGACACGGCAAACAGCAGCGACTTGTCGATCACAAAGTAGCTACACCCCAAACCATACCATGCCTTATCATCTATTGTCCTCTAAATGCTACTATAATTTACTAAATGAAAACCATGCAGTATTGAAGGAGACTTGAAACTAGCCTATGAGACTATAAACTTATTAGGAAAATGTTTACCCAGGTATCACATCAAGTGAGAAGCGGTGTCATTTTCTTATAGACTTACATACAATCAGGCTTCTTTTTGCAACTTTAGGAGTCGCCCCTGCTGTAAATTAGAAAGAATGCATGTTTAAGCCACTTCTAAATACCCTGAGGCTACATCCATGTCTTAACTACAGACTAAAGGACGAGATAGTTGACATAACGTCCAGCTCCCATCCTTCTCTGACCTGACCTGGATATTAGTTTTGTTACAATAAATGGGCCTATTTCTTGATCAAAGGCACCCAAAAGTGCTGCATGCATAGAGCATTTTCTCGGCATTACATCTGCCTGTCTTCATCCTGAGGTGTGGCAGACCCTACCGCCAATGTTAGCTCTAAGCTAACTGTAGACCTAGCCACTATATGATTCATTTTGTTTCCAAAAATGTGCTCGTAAAGGGGACAATGATGGCAGTTTTGTAAGACTAAGGAGACACAGCAATGCATTCACTGAGCTACATGTTAATATCAGCATACAAGCGTTCTCACAGTGAGAACACTGGCGACGCAAATGTAATGTTCACCAAGTTCACCATATCAGGTTAGCATGTGAGGAAAAAGCCTGCACTAAACTTCATAGCCATCAATCAATAGTTGTTATTTCAGTCAGGACACAAGTGGTGGACCATCCTATCGACTAACTAACCAACAAACCACCACACAGATTGACAACGCAGCAACTAGAGTCACCACATACTTAAACCATATACTAAAAAACAACAGTAATGCACTTTATAGGATTAACATAGAAGCAGAATAAATACGGAAAAGCTTTAAAATAGCTTTAACTTGCAACACAAGCCAGGTGAGCTCATTCCACACTACAAAAACACACCTGGAACATTAAGATTTCCATGCCATCATCTCAGTTCCTTAACAACTAATATAGAATTCTCAACAGACGAGTGCTGTCAGTCAAACTCAGCCAAATGACTCCGCGGAGGCAGGCAGTAGTAAGTTAATATACCGTTTCTTTAAGACTGAACATTTGACAAGTCCTGATCTGTCTATGGAAAGCCACCGAACAGAATTTAAATGGCTATTCAAAACCCAAATAGACTGATCTCTGTAATGGGTTGTATTTCTCGCCTGCTGTGACATCGAGGCGCCAAACAATTCTCTGAAAATGGACATTTCAGAAGATGTCTCTGACCTTTGCAGAGTGCTGGGGGATATGAATGGGTGATCCGTTTTCTTTTTGTTTTCATTTCTGTTTCTGAACTAAACCGATCAATGTCTACACAAAGCGGATGGCGGAGGTGAATTCCATGGCTACCTGGAGACGTCGAAAACGCTAACAATATGCAG